AACCCTCAAAACCCAAACAAACCGTTTTTATGATCTCCACATCCCAGCACAGCATAATCCCGCTTCCGGTCTCTGACAGGCACAGCCAGCTCCTGCCAAGGAAGCATCTTCAGGACGGGGACACGGCCCTGGTGCCCCGGCAGCTGCCCTGGGCTCCGAGGGACAGTGATCCCCCCTCTGGGTTCCTGAGCTAACACTGCCCTCGCACGGCAGCCAGGAGTGCAGAGAGGGATGGGCAGCTCTCGGCCCATCAGGTCAATCTGCTGCTTCCTCTGTTGGTCACTGTGAATACGTTAAAAAGACAGCAGATTCCACCTCGGTTTCGAGCTTGAAATATTCTGTGGGTTTCTTGGCAGGGAGCAAACATGAGATTAAGTAGCACTTCTATACACATAACAGATTAACTGGCAGTTTATCAAAGGTTTCCATTATATCCTCTTGTAGTAAAGTCAGCACCTGGCACAATAGGTTGCTGCTAACAGCTGTCCTCCTTTAGCCTGGCTGCATCTCCTCACTGGGCTGGCAGAAGAGCCCCCACTCACCAATTTGGGAATGCAAATGAGAGTTTTCCCCTTCCACTGGGGTATGCTGCCCTTGTCCTCACCTGAAGACTCTCCCCTGACATCTCCTGAGAACCCTCAACAGCACAGAGATTGTGAGACGTGATCCACCCCTGCTCCTTGTTCCATGGAGCCCACCTGTGTCACCTCTGCTCTTCCTCAACTGAGAGCTCCCTGAGGCAGGGACAGCCTCCTGTAGTACAGCAGCATGTTCCAAAATTACCCTGGCTCATTAAGGCCTCCAGACACATCCATAAAGGCAGGCACTGGGGGACACTGGGGTCTGTTTTGGGTGTAAAGTTTTCGACATCTGATCATCCGCCTCTGTGAGAACCCAAGTGTGTGAAAAGCTACACTACAACCTCTTTCCTGGCGAAAAATCAAGGCTAAAAGCACAACTCAGTGCCAGCAAATAAAAACACCATGACAGAGTTCAGACGAATAAGTACTCAAGTCTCAGTTTTTTTCACTTGCTTCCTCAGTGCAGCAAAAAAGTGAGGCACCTTTGTCTGTAAGGCTGATGGTCAGGAGGAGTATCAGAGAAAGAAATAAAACAAAGCATTTAGTGGGAAAAGATCTTGAATGCTGGGATGGGGATGGTCCATGTCATTACTGCTCTGGAGCAGTGCCCACCTTGTCAGCTGGGCATGCAGGTTTGACTCTGGACAACAGGAGCTACAAATCATGCATGAAATGAAGCCGAAGATGTGCTTGAGAAAGGAGCAGAAGCACAGGGTTGAACTAGACATAAAGAAGATTCATTAGAAAACATGAATCAAATGAGAAGCTGCACTTGACAGACTCTTCATCATACAGGAGGGGAGGAATTCCCATCATAGAAAAAGCTCAAGACGCCCCAAAATGCAAGGGCACATGGCTCTTCAACAGCCTCCATCTTTCTTGCAAGTTGCCTTTTTGTTGCATTCAAAAGATTCCATTAATTGCACCCGTGAAACCCACATGGATTTGCTAGAAAATAATCCCATCACCTGAGATTTCTGCTGCAGGCTTGGCATTCCCACTGAGCAGTGCCATTCGCTGCTCCATGTCTGCAGTGTTTTCAGCCCTGGGGAGGTGGGTGGGAAAAGGCAGTGAATCTGAGAAGCCTGGCACAAAATATCCACACAAACCAAAACTCCCTTGGCTCTGGAACCATCAGTGCTGAGGGTAGAAAGGCAAACAAGGGAATGTGGGCCTGGTTGCTAGATAGATCATTTATTAAAGTGAAATTCAGAATTTTATCTTTTTCAGACAGTACAGAGTTAAAGTCTCATACACAGTGGAAGCAGGACATTTCCTACACCTCAGAGAAATGAGTTCTACAGTTTTTGCTATAAGTTACTAAGTTGCTTTAACAATACACAGCTATATTACACAGTTAAAAATACAAGGTGTCCAAAACATTTGGCATAAGATCAGCACAACACATGGAGGCCAGAAACAGAAGAGGGAACACAGTTTTCTCTCCCAGTAAGCCTGCCAAAAGACTCCAAACCATTCTGCAAGTTACCTGCTACCCACCTCTCCTGCAGCAGACTCTGTGGAGCAGAGGTTTGGGTAGGACAGGAGTAAACCCAGCCCTGGTGAGGCTCAGGTAAGCCAGAGGCTCCTGGAGCCTGCTGATGCACAGGATGGCCTGCAGAGCTGCTTGCAAGGGAAGTTCAGGTTTAAGGCAGGAGCCTCCCCCTCTCCCCACACTTTGTTCAAGCATTAATTCATCCCAAACAGATGTGTTCACAAGCAAGTCAAAAACACGAGACCAGGGATAGCTGTGAAAAGTGCAAGGAGTATCTTACATCCTAATAGCTCATTTGCACTTTGAAAGTGGAAAATGAGAACTCCCTAACTTGATAAGCTAGAGATGGTTAAAGGGCATCAGTGACACGAGAAGTGAGGCATCAATAACATTCCTTTCCCTTTGGGACTCTTCAGTCCTTACTCTGGGCGGGACAAGGACTCCTTTTGGAAGGGAGGCCACCTTGTTTTACCCACGTTTCTGAACTGTAGAGACAAAGTGACTCTAGTGCTCCAGGGAAGTCCAGCGATCTGCAAACCTAAACAAACAGTCCCTCAGCAGACCCCTCCTCTCCCCTCCAACTGCAGTTCCTGCTGAAGATCTCCCATTGGTATTTACATTTGGCTCAACCAAAAGATGTAAAGTGCACAGCTCGCCCTCCTCCCCCTCTCATAAAACATCCATCACAAGAGCTGAGGCAGAACAAATCTCCCTCCACGCTGCTGCTGCTGCTGTGGAAGCGCGTTTTGTTCAGTCTCCCTGTGGGCCATGTCCTGTTCATCCTCCCTGTGCCATCATGACCCGCATGAAAACTCCCATTTACTGTAGATTATTTTGGCTCTTGTGTTCAAAGCCTCTCTGAACCCAGCCTGCACTTTAGACTCACTTGAAATTCCAGGCTTGACATGTTCTGGTCAATTTTTACACCCCGGGGTATCTAGTGGTTTACAGCCACTTTTCTAAGGAAAACTGGGACACCAGAATAGTGGAGAGAAGTGGTACAAAGCTCTGCTTTTCTCAGGCTGAGCATCTAAAGCACCTGGCAAAAGAAATGTTGTTTCTTAATGCAATAGTTTACTTCAGGTTGATATACAATAATCTTTCAGATTATAAAATTTTGAAAACTGCATTCTAACAGAGCCTCCTTGGATGTGTTTGCACTTTTCAGCCATCAGGTTGCTACTGACTCGAGTCTTTGCATGCTTCCAACTCCCCTGAGTTGAGCTCAAGCCAATAACTACCAGCAATGATTTCTTCTTCTTCCCTTGAAGTGAGCAGAGGGTCAGCATACAGGATGAAATTAAACCCAGAAGAGATGTTTCTGCATTATTTGGATTGCATACTAATGGCTTTGGATCTATTCAGAACTCTAATTAAGTTAATGGAACTCTGAAATGAGAATTGAGCTAGGCTATGGAATTGCATTAGGCTATATAATGGCTGGAGACCTTCAGAGACAATTCCTCTGCCCCATGGTGAATGTCACCTATGCAGGCTTGTAAGAAATAAGCTTCCACTATTATAAATAGAAGATGACATCTGGTCATCCTCCATGCCCCCAAGGCTTGTGCTCCATGGTTCAAAGCTAGACAGAATTTAAGGCCCATCTGTGAAAAGCAAAATGCAAAATGCAAAAAAAATATCATACCAGCCAAAGCGATTTGGGTCTTACACCTTTCCAACAAGTCCCTTCTGAAAGTGCTGAGAAAATGTCCCACCTCATGGCTTCACAAGTGTGAGGTTCAAACACATTTACTTTGACATTTAAAATAAAAAGTTGGAAAGTCTTTTTTTTTGTTTTTTTTTACTTGGCATGCAGCATAAGGAATCGAACACACAGCACGGTATCGTACACAACGACAATTGCATTGTTGCGTTTTCTGGTTATTAGACACTAAATGCTTTTCAAGAATCACAGGCACCCTGAACATGGATATTGCTACTGAATTGACGTGTGGTTTCAGTTCATAGCACGGGAGCCAGCAAGTGGCTGACCCTTCCATCAAGACCATCAGCTTTCTGTTGCTCAAGGTGTTTTGCTCTAGCTAAGTTGAGAACAAGTAATAAGGCATTTGCAAGGGGTTTATAAGGCCATGGGGTCTGACAGCCAAAGATTCTTCTGTTTCTTTGGTGTCTTGCCTCCAAGCTTTCCACCTTATAAACAACTGCTAATGGCTGGTAAACATCTCTTCATCATCACACTTCACTAAGAATTTTTTTTTTCAAAAAAGTATAATTGCTTTAGAAGTGAAACCAACAAGGATCACATTTAACATCAATTGACTATTTCAGGAAAAAAAGAAAAGAAAAGTTTCCTGGATACCACCTCGGCGCAAAAGCATTCCAGTGAATACACCTGAACAGATGGAACCTGCCACCGTATTTCCTTGAAAAGAATCATTTTGCTGCTGGCTACTAAAACACCCCAACAGATTTATTTACTCTTAAAAATTAAACAAAATAAAATACAACCACAAAAAAAGTAAATCCCAAACAAACTACATTTTTACAGTTTTGGTCTAGAATCACAGAATCACAGAATCAATTAGGTTGGAAAAGACCTCTGAGATCATCGAGTCCAACCTATGACCAAACACCACTGTGTCAATTAGACCACGGCACCAAGTGCCAGTCTTTCCTTAAAACACCTCCAGGGACAGTGACTCCACCACCTCCCTGGGCAGCCCATTCCCTTATTTAATCACCCTTTCTGTGAAGAAATTCCTCCAAATGTCCAACCTAAACCTTCCTGGTGCAGCTTGAGGCAATTTCCTTTTGTCCTGTTGCTGGTTGCTTGGGAGAAGAGGCCAACCCCCACCTGGCTCCACCCTCCTGTCAGGGAGTCGCAGAGAGTAAGGTGCACCCTGAACCTCCTCTTCTCCAGGCTGAGCAACCCCAGCTCCCTCAGCCATTCCTCACAGGACTTGTGCTCCAGATCCTTCACCAGCTTTATTTCCTTTCTCTGGACCTGCTCCAGCACCTCAATGTCCTTCCTGAATTGAGGGACCAGAACTGAACACCGCACTTGCGGTGTTGCCTCACCAGTGCCCAGTACGGGGGAAAAATCACTATGAGGCATAACCCTCTCAACTCAGAAGCTCATTTTCCCTTGGTAACATCCTCTGATTACATGAGCACGTGGAAGGTTAACATGCAGTCAGAGAATGTACCCATCTAAGCATCTGCCCTGAATGAGAAAAGCCAGATCACGTTGACTGATGTGGGAACTACTCCACCCTTTCAATAAGGAAAGGACCAGCACAAATAGGAAATTTTTAAACATTCATGAAATACCGACACAAGACATTCTCTCCTCATTCCTTGAACCTCTCTCTTGTATGATGTTCTAAAAATCCATACGGAATTAACAAGGAAATGCTGAAACAATCACACTCCCCAGATGTCACAAATGGGACATGTATCATAACAGAGTATTTCTGCCTACGACACAGGACTTAAGACATGTTGAAGTTTGTTGAACATGTTTTTTGGAGTATTAGCAAACAATTCAGAGTGATGTGAACAACTCGCTTTAAACTGTGACTTCAATTTTAAAGAGACCCTGGGAGAGTTTCAACAAGAGCTTCACTAAGTGAACCCTTCATGCCTTACAAAACACAATGCAATACTAAGCTGAGACCATGACCAGTGTGTTTAGCTCTTAAACAAAGCTTCATCCAGTTCTGAAATAATAAAACCTGCCATTTACAAAATGCTAGCTGAAGTTTTCTACTGTTCATTTCGTTGCTTAAGGCTTGTTAAGAATATCCTCTCTATGTGGAGTCTTGGCATCTTGTACCAGAATGGAGACACTGGTCAGGACAGCAAAGAAACAGAGCGGTGCTTTTAATCATGAGATCCCCTGAAGAGAATTTGAGGTCACTGGAGAACAGTCAGTCACAACCAACACTTTTAAAAGCTCCTTTTGCCAAAATAATCACTGTATTATCTGTAAGGACACCTCGGCTTTAAATAAAATCAGGGTGATCTCCTCCTACAGTGCCCTGTTAGGGAGCACCAGTGTGCCACCCTCACTCACACAGCTCTCATGAAAGCACATGTAATGTCTGTGAAACATTTGTGAAAGGTAAATGCTTTGATGCTTCTTACACATTGCAAAGGGAGATGAAATGTAATCATGAAATGCTCCAGTCAGATCACTGCCCTGGTTATGGTGACTCACCCATAAATCTGCTTTATACGAAACAGAGCCCCTGAATATACACAGCAGTTTTGTGACAGCTGCTAAAGCTTCAGTATAAAATGCACATCACTTGTGACCAATACTGACCTGACACAGAAATTAAGAGACTGATGTCTCAAGCCATTGTTTTACCTACCATCACTGAAATATGCATAAATCAATTAAATAAGCACTTCTACCAACATGATCAGACACAGCAAATAGGTTGTGTTTGCCTTAATACCACATTCAGAGAAATGCAGAAATTTTTAAATGCCTACAGAAAATTTAATTAGTGAGTTCTTAAAAGAAATTAGAAAACAGACTGCAGAGAGTTGGTTGGCATCTGTGTCGGATGGGGTCGGGAGGAAAAAATGGCAAAAAAACCCCATCAATTTCAGACTGGTCAAGTGTGTTCACTGGAGTAGATCTGGTGAGCTGGAGCATTTGTAGAAGTTTGGGACTTGAAGCACTGACTCAAGGCAAGACAGAGCATGTGTAGGTGAGCAGCAAGCTTCAGACAAACTTCTGACCCATGCACCTTGATAATGAATTTTATCTCTGCTGCTCTTCCAGTCCTGTACCAAGACAAACTGCATGGTGGTTTGTGATGCAGCCTGAATTCAGTGAAAAAAAATCCATCTGGCATTTGAATTGCACTGAGATGTAGATTTCCAGAAATGGTTTAAAACACCAAGTTGACAAACTCCACAGTTCTACAGGTTTATTTGGTTTCCCCATTATCCTCATTTCTTTGTTCCAATATGACTTTGAAATGAGGGGAAGAAGTCTTCGGAAACATGCTGGGCACATGTTTTCAAATACTCCTCATAAGAATGTCTATATTTTTTTTCTGTCATCCAGACACTGCATTTAAAAAAAATTTACAATATACTTTAACAGTTTTTATAAACCTAAAATGCACAATACCACATGTTCCTTCAAGGTGTCTCTTATTCCAAGGCTTGTTAATCTTCAGTCGAGTTGCTTGCTGCCTTCTGATTTCTGGTCCAGCCTGCTCTTATTGTTCTTCACCATGTAGATGAAATATGCAAGTGTCTCCTTCTCATTCACTGGAATATTCCTGAAATGACGACTGACAGTCTAGAAGGACAACAGGTAAAGAGATAGAAATGCTGGAATTAAAAACTAGAAATAATCAGAACAGGGTTTCTCTTCACTTTCCAAAAACGATTTTATGGCCACTGAGCACATTATCCTTTGAGTGAAACATGCACCAATTCCAACTGTCAGTCCTCATTTACCTCCCTCTCTCTTTGCAGCTGGAATGTGTGTATGAACATAGTGTAGCCTTGCTATGTCAGCAGGATTTGCAGCCAACCTACAAGAGGAATTTGGAAGCCAGAACGTCCTCCTGCCAAAGCAGCACAGCTTCTCCTCAGCGACATTTTTGTGCTGAGATTATCTGGCGAGCGAGTTTTCCCTGCACCTCTGTGTTTTAAAGGAGTGTCAGAAACACTGCAGCACTTCGCTGTGTGAATCAGGTGTAGCAAAGTTTTATCCAGAGCTGTTTCCTCTGGACTCTTAAGTCTTCACTGAAAGGAACATCAGGGAATTTGCAATGGGACAGTTAGGGTTTAGTTAGGGCTACCCTTCTCTGACAGAAGCATAAGCCCTGAAACATTAGCTGCTTTTTCCTCAGAAAGTGAATGCAGAAAACATGCTAGAGCTGGACAAGATCTACGTCTCACACAGAAGAAACTCTTTTTTTGGTACCCAACACAGATCTAGACTGGGATTTTGAAGCAGGTTGAGCAGTAAGTCACTCCAAGGAGATTTATGGAAGCTTGAGTTTTCCTTATGGTGGGGTAGCATGAGGAGTGTAAAAGCCTCAGGCAGCAGTGATTAAAGCATGGGATCTGGATGAGGATCTGCCATAGAGTCAAAGCTGCTTCACCTGGTTCACAGGAAATTTGGGAAGTGTGTGACAGCTTTAAGTTAGGCTCCCTTTATTTTCCGCCTGCACAGTAATTGATCTTTTCTTTCCTCTTGGAAAGAAAATTACTCATGGTAAATTCCTTTAACAGGCAGTCCTTCATGGCAGGAGGCAGCTGACATATATGAACTGGTTGGTTAAAATATGACAAATCAGGACTGCTAATGAGGAACCACCCCACCCTACTTCATTCAGCTTATTCCTACATGCCCTACACTGTACATTCTCTATATTCTGTATATTCACTCTCTGGTAGACTCTGAAAGAAAGACAGTGTCTTGCTGACTTTTTTGGTCTGTCAGGATTTTTTGTTCTTTGAAGCAAAAGTAAAACCAAACCAGACAGTTTTAGGCAGACAGTTGTGAAAGCCACAACTTTTATCAGCCTCAGTATTAATGAGCAACTACTACAGATTTTTCAAGTTTAGAGGAGATTTTCCCCACAGCATGACTTCAGATCAAGTCAGGAAAGAGCAGAGCAGAAGCGCAGCAAGTACAACTTGCCCAAATACCAGAGATACAGAGAGTTCTTTCTGAACAAGTAGCCCATATGGTGAGAAAGCAGCAGAGGCCCTTAAGAAAAAAGCCTTTTATAATACAGGATCATCAGGACTAAGGAGGGAAATAAAGAATCTGAATCCATGGACAGTGATGTTGCCTTTAATAATAAGCAATTCCAATGAATTTGAGTGCCTGTGAGGAAAGAAAAACTAACAGCAGCACTTAGGGAGATAATTAGTGGGTTAAGTCTGAGTTTCAGCTGAGGAGCCATCCCCAGAAAACACCCAAAACTGGGTCCTGTTCCTGCTCCCTAAAGGGCACCAACTGGGACTATGAAAAGAGTGGGAAAGGAAGCAGAGACAAGCAAGTTACTAAAACAGGCTTTCAACAGCCAGTGTCTGTGCCTTCCAAGCCTGTCCCAGGTGAAAGCAAGCAGGCAGCTTTCCTGCTGAAACCTCTCAGAGGGCACTCAGTCAGTACCAGTGAGTCACACAGGTGTGAGTGCCCACAAAATGTGCCCCTGAACAGAGCAGATTTTCTTGTAACAAGAAGTTCCAAGTTTTCTTGTAACAGAGATAACACCACCGCTGTCATCACTTACTTCTGCAAGCTGAGCCTTGTTGAGTCCAGGCCTAGTCTGCAACTTATAATGTCTCTTGTAACGTCGCAGGGTGTTCACTTGGAGCTGGAACAAGTCAACCTGGAAGTGATAAAGGGAAGAGGGCATGAGCACTACCTTTAGCTTCTATGATTAGTTATTTTATCTAAAAATATCTAAAAATAACTACTTCTTCCTCAACAGGACTTCTCATTGCTTGCATTCAGAACCGCACTGGCTTGTCTTACTGACAAAGCTAAGTATATTTTGTATTTGTTAATGCTAAAGGACCAAAATAGCCTCAGGGAAATAGAAATTTTTGTTCTGGTTCACATGCTGTCAACAGAATTGCTGGCCAATTTCTGCTCTCAATTACACCTCTGCAACCTCCAAGCAAAGGGGAACCTTTTGTTCCCACAAGGTTTAAAAAGCTCACACATGAAATAACAATTTAGCAGGCACCGAACAAACGGCTTGTGACATAAAACAGAGTACAAAGATGAAATGAAATTCAAATACTTAAATAGGAAGTGCACAGTTTAAAAGCAAAGGGGGTGGTGGCGAGGTTACAGTAGGGAAGATGAAGATCATGTGGGAAATGCCAAGTTTCAAAGACAAAAGGAATCTCTGCTGAAAACTGAGAGGGAAATGACATGAAAACTGACACGGTGCAGAGTTCCCTGTTCAGCTGAGTGACGTGCATCCAGCAGGTTTCAGCCACCAAATACTCTGTGTGCTCTACAGCACCAACATTTTTAGATGCCAACTGGGTCTCCAGCAATCACCCTGGCAACTACTGCAAAGCTTGAACAGGAAAGTTTTGATGGAGAACCTTGTAGAATGGAAACATGAACAGTGATAACAAAAGGTCAGGTTATCTTAAAAAAAAAAACAAAAAACAACATACCAAAAACTTGCTACTCTTTCAACACCTCCACACAGGAGGTGTGTGCACCAGCTTTGCACCAAGACACAGCTTTGCAGGCAAAATGATTCTTGGTGGCTTTCTTTTTTTTTTTTTTCCTTTCAGAAATAAAAGGCTTTTTGCCAATAGGGTTGGCATTTCCAGCAGAGGGCTCTGCTGACGTGGCCACGCTCTGCTTCTCTGAACATCACCTCTGCACAACTTTTGCCGTGTCAACAGTACCAGAAACATCACTGATGCAAGTGCAACACGCAGTGGCACAGAGAAGGGATTATTCTAGAGTTCTCTATCACAGAAAACTTCCCCCAGGCCTATATCCTGAAAATAAAAATGTGTCACAAACTATTTAAAGGTAGTTTTAAATAGTGCTAAGAAACATCATATATGCAAATAACTGGAGCAGCTCAATATTCCTGGGTATCAAATACCCAATCCAAGAGAGTGACCTATTGAATTCTGTAGTGTATTTGCAAAATGATGCATGCTAAGTAACAAAGAATTATGTCAGGGCATCAGCCACCACCAAAAATAACAAATTTTTAGACTTAAAAAAAATTGGTATCAAATACAATTTTAACTGTATATACGTGAAGAAGCTGTGCAGTTACCTTATCACACCTCTTTTTATAGAAAACTTTACATGGGCAAAGAATCCATATGGGAATGAAGAAAATTAGGACACCACACATTAAAAAAAATTCTTCTGGGAAAGTGAACGCAACTCCACAGCAGCTTCAATGGCATTGCAATTTAAATATAAATATTTTCTGATATATGAGAACATCCAAGTCAAACTTCAACAAGCTAAGAACTGGTAAAGCAGCCCACGAACCTCCGGAACATCCGTGTCGTGCTCAGGAGAATCACCTCCATCATCGCTCGTCTTCCTCTTCCTTTTGTTCCGAACACTTTGAATGAAGTTCTTGTGAAAATCACAAATATATAGATGTCTCACCTGAGAACCAGAAGTGGCGAAAAAGCAATCAAAAAAGATACTGTGAAACAGCATCCAACAGCAGCCACTTAAACACCTGTGTCAGGTGCATCCCTCCAGACTGGTTTGACTGACTGACATCAAGGAATTTCTGATCTTAAATCCCAGCCCTGATATCACACTGTTTATTCAGAGATAACTTACCTTACAAAGACTAAAGGCAAAGAAAACAAAGAACTCAAGTTCCAGCTGAACTTGAACCTTTGCAGATAATATACTTCTTTTTTCTGGCTGCAAACATATGTCAGGAAAAAAACGGATGATTGTCTGGAGGAAGTGCATTTATTTCAGGACTTATTAGAAGGTAACTACCAAAAAAATGTATTATTCCATTCCACTCTTCTGAACTCTCTGGCTTGAATAGTACAGAAGATTATTAAGGAAAGTGTTTTAAAACCTTGATCAAATAAAACTTAGCCTTATCACCTCAATTAAAACAAACAAACCAAGTGCAGAATAGCCTCCTTCCTATTGCTTGTTCAGCCATGGAACCTCCCTTTTAAGAAATATTACCTTACTAGGGTTAGCAAAATAAAGGACTTCACATGATCAAAATTATTTGCTATCTATAAGGCAAAATATCTTCAGATAACATAAGCACCGTACATCCAAAAATCACTCCATGCCGCCTGCTTTACACTTTCCCTTTGTTCCGACTGCATTAGTCTGACTTCCCCTTTTTGTTTCTAAAGCCTGGCATCTGTCAACAAAGACTCATTTCTAAAATGCAAGAAATTACTACGCCACTAGACAAATCTGCTGAGAACTACAACTGGAAGAAATACTCTATTTTTTAAGAATAAGAATATGTTTCAAACTGAGTCACTTTTCCCGTGACACGATGCATTTTGGCTGTGTAGAAGGGACCCAACCAACTGGGGGAGCTGCCAAACAGACTGACTCAAAACTTCACCTTTTTTTTTTTTTTTTTTTTTTTTTCTTTTGCTTTGCTTTCAGTGGTTTTGATCTTTAAAGATCAGGCAAGAAAAGCGTGCAGACCTGAATTCCGTTAACGAAGTCACTTCCGAGAAATTGAGAAATTCCTTCTGTGATCTGCTCAGCTCTATTTCTCTGCTGGGCAAATAACCCGTTTCTATCTCGAGCTGACAGCTGTCACTTAATGTCATTAGGCAGCAAACCGGGCTGTTCTGCGTGCGAATAAACCCTGCTGAAGAGGCAGCACATCTCACTGCCAGCTCGATTTTTAACCTGCTTCACTACAACACCAATTCTTACCAATTAAAGAAGTAACGTCAGTGCCGCCTGACTGAAGCAGTAACCACAGCGCTGTTTTCACCTGACAGCACCAGCCTTTCCAACCTGAAACCGCAATGGGAACAGCACTCCTGCCTCCGAAGCGCTGACAGCTCGCTCCTTTGCTTCCCTGCACAGCACCTGCCTCCCAAACACGGGGTTTAGTGCTTTAGCTACGTTATGCTTCAGAAGGCGGACAGTGCCACGGGGAAAAGCCGGCTCTGCACCCGGGGAACAGCCGGGTCCACCCAGGCACGTCCTTCCCTTCCCGAGCGCTGTAAGGCTGAGGATGGGCAGAGGCGGTCCGGAGGCACCGTGTGTGCCGCACACAGCCCCGCAGCCCGCACCCTCCGCCCGCAGGGCCAGCGCCAAGCCCCGGGGCCGCCCGGGAGCCCAACTCGCCGGGCGGATCCGCATCTCCCCGGAGGCACCGCAGTGCGGTGGCGGCTGGGGCCGGCCCGGCCGCCCCTCCGGGGGGCTCGGCGGCGCCCGGCAGCCCCGGCCGAGGCCTCACTCACACTTTTGTCGATGTCCAGCTTCAGCTTCTTCTGCGAGATGCTCTTCTGGATCCTCTTGCTGAAGGACGCGTTGCCGGCGGGGCGCACGCAGCGGTCCCCGTCGTCGATGAGGCAGCAGCTCTGGCCGTAAAAGGGGGCGGCGGGCGGCCCATCCCGGCTGTCCTCCTCGGTGCTGAACCCATTCATCGCCCACCTGCCCGCCCCTCACCCCGCGCGGGGAGCCGACAACCGGGGGACCAACCGGGGGACGAGCCGCCGTCACTACCGCGCCCTCGGGGGGACCCCGCCGCCCCCGCGGGGGCCCCCCACTAGGGCAGGGGAGGAGACCCCCCTCCTCCGCCGCCGCTCAGCGCTGCCCGCGGGGTCGGGCCGGGCCGGGCCCCCCAAGCGCCGCCGCCCGCGGGGAGCCGGGACCGCGCAGCGCTCGCACACACAAAACCGCCTCCCCGGCCGCGGAAGTCCCGCCCCCCGACTCGCAGGCGGGGCTCTGATTGGGCCGCGCTGCTGGAGGGGCGGGGCTCACCGCGCCGCTCCGAGCTCCCATTGGTCGGAAGAGCTGTCAGTCCGCCGCCACCGCCCGGCCCCCGCAGCCGGAAGGTCGCCGTGAGGGGCGCGCGGAGGGAGCGGCGGCTCGGCCCCCCCGGAGCCTGAGGGGAGCCGGCCGCTCCCTGCGCTGCTCAGCAGGTGCCGGGCTGGGACCGCCCGCAGGATGCGGGAGCCGCGCCGACCCCGCCGGCCTTCGGGCTTCCCCTGCTGCCGAGACGCGCACGGGACAGCCGCATGCAGCCGCGGCACCGCGGGTTCCTCCCGCCGCCCGCAGCTGCACCGGCACCGCTTCTGTGACGGACCTGAGCCCGTAACAGAGCCGGAGCTGCGGCTCTCACCCGGCCCTCGTACAAAACTCGGGGCGGCACAGCCACATATGCCTGTTCTTGGGTCGTCACTCGGGCTGGAGTTCCTGGCTGAAATGTAATTTTTATTTTTTTTTTTAATGTTATAAAAAATAGAGGATTTAGATTTCTTCCCCCAATTACAAGGCAGGGATAGTGAAAAGATAGGACCTGGAGAAGCGTCTCCTCAAAGCAATGTAACTTTAAGCTTCGCAAATTATATCTTCAGGGAAAAAAAAGTCAAAAAGAACCCTGAAAAAGCAAAAAAAAACCCACTCCAACCCCAAAATCTCCCCAAAAAATATAAAAGGGGAGAAAAAAAGGAGGCGGCAAGGGGGGGTGGCGGACAGCAAATAATGAAATTCCTTCTGATCTGTGAAGAAAAGATGTAACTTCTGGAAATGGTGTGACTTCTGTAATACCAGACAGCAAGTGCTGTTGTCAGAGGTTCCTGAGCAGCTATAAAAGGAAAAGGATTTCATCTTCCTGAAGAAAGGAGTTTCTGCTCAGAAAGAAGAAAGGTTCTATAGACTATGACTTCAAAGCCTGAAATCCTGCATGTGGAACAATGTGCGCGAGCACTGGCTGAACTGTGCTGAATCACACGAAATACCTTCCTAAGAAAGAGACTCCTTGAAGCCCTTGAAGGTCATCAGCTCAGGCTGCTCCACACAGCAAGCAGTTCTGCATGCTCTGCACAGGACAACTGAGAAAACTCAAAATCTATATTTTCCAAGCACTCTTTACAATACCAAACAAGCCTCAGAATAAATCCAGAGGGCAGAGACTTAATACTCATCATCAGCTCCGCCTCTTCTCTTGGCTTTTACTGCGGGTGCCCTCGGGCAATTAGTAATTTGTGTTTGTGCATGTGACCAGCAGAGAACCACAGTGCACCCTCCTGGGTACACGCTCCCTGGAGCTGGCCGTTCTCACGGGAAGCTGGAGGAAACTAATGACTTTACCCACAGACCAAACAAGCAGTTAGCAAAGAGATTTTAAAGAGAGTAAAACACTACGGCTTATAAAAGCCCCAGGCCAAACTGATTGGAATCTGCCTGCCTGAAGTAATACCCTCCTGGCAAAGCCATACAGATATTCCCTTGTTTTGGGAAAAGGGAAAACACCAAGAGGCCGACAGAGATCTCAGAGCTGCTGATAACAAGCTTTCTGGCTTTTTCTTAACATTAGCAATAAAAATCAAATGGCTGGCTGAGGAAATCTTACAGAAGGATTATCTTGACACTCAGGAAGCCAAAACCACAGACTGTAGGGACAGATGAAATAACAGCAAGCAAGGAGATAAAAGGGAACATAGCCCTAACAAGCAGAACTTCTTCCTGTCCGCTTGAGGAGGAGATTGTGTAGGTGCTCCCTGAGTATATTTTGGGAAGAAACGGGCACCTTAAGTGTCAGAACAGGTTGGTACTGACCATCAGATTGTATTTCATCTTGTGCTGCAACCTCTCATCCCTGCAGATAAAAAGGTTTTAAGGCCTTTTGCAATGCTCACTAGAAGGAAAAACCCAGGTTTTGTCACTGTTTGCTAACTCAATGCTAATTACCTCCTGCTCAGGCTAACAGGATGACACCTTTTTTCAGTCTTTCAAAATAAAAAAAAAAATGCATGGAGGTGTTTTTATAATTGGAGTTTATTTCAGCATATTTATCCTCATGGGAACCTCCAGATTTCACAGTCTGCTAGTCTGGAACAAGCTTGCTGCAAAATAAACTGCCTCATGGAGACATTCTTTATTAGGTATCTATCACTAACCTGATCCAATAATTCTTTGTGGGAGCTGCAATGAAGTGAGAAACAATGTTTCATAAACCCATCAGTACCCAGGCAGTTTTAGTGCCTCTGAAGCAGTAATAGCTTGGCCATCCCAGTCAGCCTCTAATCAAATTAGGGGAGCCTGTGCAGGCCTGTAAATCTCACCTGGAGCAGCACTACCCTCTGAAGACAAGTCGGTGGTGTAGCTGTCATCTGGAACTTACTATTTTAATGGAGCCATTCAGGGGGCTCAGGACAGAAATACTTCTCTCTCAACGGTCTGTGCTGCTTGAGACGTCCTGGGAAGAAGGTTTTTTTTAAACTTTTCATCAGCAGAAATCAGACCATTTCCTTTCGCAGTACCTTGGAGAGGCCAATGAAAACACTGCTCTGGCACCTTCCTCCAGACTCCCACTCTCCTCAGCACTTTTCTAGGGTGGCACATATTGAACCTGCTAAAATGCTTAAACTGTCACAGCTTTTGGCACATACTTACCCTGGGCAATGTTCCCGTGGCCAAGAATCACAGCACAGTTTTCCCTGGGGATCATGCCTTGCTGGTCGCCCCCCAGAAACACTCCTTTTCCCACACACAGATTTTCACACATTTCATTGTCTCCGTCCCATCCATTTTTCCCCCACTGTTTTTCACCCAATGGAGCAGAGTAAAAAGGAGTATTGAGAAGGCCACTGAAGAGATGAAGTGGTGACAGCAGGAAGCAGAGGGTCCTAGTGGGAACATGAGCAATGCTGATACACTTCTGTTGGCTTGGGCTGAGCCTGTGCTCCCCACCAGGAGATCAGAACACAAACAAGGCCGTGAGCTGTTAAAGCCCTCCCATGCAAACCAAGGGGTGGGGTGGATTTCCCAGCAGTCGCTTCCAAGGCAAACAGAGAAAGAAGAGTCACAGCCATCTTTTCTCTATTCCTCTGTGCTTCCCAGTGTGTTCTACCAAGGACAGTCCGTGGCTGCCGTCCCTCAGGGGTGTCCTACCTGGGTACAATTCATCCACTACAGCTGTGGTTCCTTCAGGACTGCACCACTGGACATGGAGTGACAGGAAACCTGTGCTGGGGAAACACCACACCAGGGCAGCTGAGCTTATTCTCACAAGGAGAACAGAAATCAATCACTGGAGCAAAGCAGGCGGGGACAGTCATGTCTGCACACACAGTTTTCAGAAAACACATTAAAAATTTATTTTAAATATATTATAAAAGGAAGTCCATTCAACTTTAAAAACACTAGGCATTCTATCAATGATTCCCAATTTATGAAAGCTACTACATTAAAGTGCTACAAGTCCTTTACCACCCCCAGATATTAGGCTGTTGGTCCTAATACGCACAAAATAAATACACACTGATTCAAGAGGCACCATCCAGTTTTACAGAGAAAATGCATGCAGTACAAGGTACAGACAAACTTAGACCTAATCACCGAGATCCTAGAGAATGCATTTCGAAACCAATTCCCTTCTCCACCCTAGAGGCTAAAGCTATTTGTTGCTGTTACCGTAAGGGCTAAGGTTTCAGGCTGTTAGCTTGAGCAGTTTTTATCTTATTTTGTGGTTGAAGTTCACATTTGTTTGCTCACTACCTGGGATTAAGATTTTTCTCCTTGAGTTGAACCAGTATATTTAAAACCACATAGATCCAGTGGCTTTATATAAAACTCCAAAATCACTCACAACTGCTGGAATCTTTGAAGCCTTTTGGATCACACAGAAGCATCAAGAAAGCTCAAATGCAGTCAGCTAAGGAGTGTACTTGGCTAGCAGAGTCAAAAACAGACACAGGCTTTTTATTAGGGTTTCCATGATCTGTCATTGCCTATTTCCATACAGACTCTCCAAGCTAAAGCATGACACTACAAAGTAGAAATCAGAGCAGGAGGTGAGCTTGTTTTGGTTAAACTTCAAATTTATAATGTGAATAAATCAATCTGACTTATTAATGAGGAATATGAAATGAATTGACAAGTCTGTGTTGAATGCTGATGGCAATTTCAGATCTCATTTCCCATTCTCCACCCACTGCATCTCTCCACTTGAATCAGGTGAGGATCTGCAGCTTGGTTTAAAATCTGGACTCAGCACTCATTAGGTCAGAAAACAAAGCACTTAAAGGTGAATCCTACACAAGCTGGGAAATTGCAGCACACAGACTTTCCTTGCTTAAGATCAACTCACAGGCCATGGCAGCCGAGGAGCAGGACTCAGTGCTCCTGACTCCCAAGGCAGCTCCCCTTTGCTGTGTATCTTGTGAAACCACGCAGTGAATGCAAGAACCCCAGCAGCTGTGCAAGTGGAATGCAAGGTACACGTGCATCACTTGGGCTGTTTCACACATGGCTTTATCAGGGCTCTTTTGACTGCAAGCGTGACAGGCTGACTGCCAGAGGCTGGCTGTTCTCCCCAATCAATTCAAGTCCCTGTCTGTATCCTGAAAGACAATTTAGAATAAAATCTTCTCCCTTTTCACCTGGCAGTTCTGTGATTGCCCAGTCTGACTTTTAGGAGATGTCTCCCTTGGGTGATGTGAGCCAGCAGAGCTGCTGTCACAGCCCTGCAGCAGCCCCAGAGCACTGTCTCCTGCAATGCTGGTGGTGCCTGTTTGACTCTCAGGTCACTGATATCAGTGCAGCAGGGAAAAGGAAAGTTTGCTGACTGGAACACTCCAGTAGTAAAGGAAAGCAAAGCCCTGTGCACAGACTGCTGTAAAACCAACCACAAGGAAAGCTAGTCTGAGAAATCGCTTTCTTGCTACTTCTGTATTAGAGTTTTAATACACTCTGTATTTCCTGCGTGAAAAAGTTTCCCAGTGATGGAAGGCATCGAATTCTTCTGAAAGACATTTCTGCTACAGATTTCATATGCTTTTGGGACTATTTTTGATTTGCATACTTAGAAAATAAAATGCAGGATCCCACATGCCAGTGAAATCATGAGCCTTTACCATGAGGTGGAACATCCAGCAGCTAACCAAGGCATCTTCCAGTGCAGCTGCAGCTGTTACAGCACACCCAGAGGAAGCTGCCAACCTTTCCAAGTCTTCCTATTAGGAGTGACAAACCTCCCCAGAGTCATTAACAATATCGATTTAACAGAGGGAACCCAAGAGCTTCTGAATTACTGTCGTTCACACAAATTTTGCACTGAAAATCAGACATTTAAAAAAAACCCCACACACAAACACTGCAGGAGTCAAGCTTTCTCTTATATCCTTATCCCCCAACCCCAATCCCTCTCTCTTGTCCAGCAAGGCACTAGGAAATGGTTCAAGTTTAAGCATTTGCTGTACATTTACATTTAAAAAGGCACATCTTTATTTTAATGATGCTGTATTCCCCTTTCAGGAAGGCTCACACGTTCTTCTATTGTGGTTTGAAAAAGAAAATTAATTTCCTAGGTATAAGAAAAGACACCTTGCACACATGAGAGCCCCAAGCCTATTTACTGTCTGTAGGCCTTAGAGATTAGCACCAGTATAGATCAACAGCTTCAAGAGCAAATCAAAGTATTTTTATGCAACACAACACACACCCTGTTGTCTGGGATTCTGATACTTAAAAGCAGCAAAACTTATGCAGCCACAAAGAGAGGGGTGTTTCAATACTTTGGGGGGAAAAAATATGAAAACATGTATTTGGCATTAGATAATCACCAGTATTTAATCTCCAGTCTTGACTCGCATGCAGATGTGAAGATTTGTGATTATGTATTCATGCTTTAGTGATTTTGCTTACAAATAACCAAAAGTAATTGGAATAATTAACTAGATTGCCCAGCAAAGGCTCAGTTAAAGATGCAGATGATCAAATACAGCTTACATTTCTTAATCAGTGGATGGTTGGCTATATGAAGTCTATGCATTGGTCAACAAAGCTTCTAGGGTACTGCAAAGTATAACTGATGCAAATAATTAATAGCTCCAAGCCCAGTGAGCTAGTCAGAAGTGTACAGAATTTGTGAGGCTCTAACCACACTCAGATCCCAAACCTTCAGAAAAGAGATCAACCATGCTGAGATAGACCTGGTACAACCACTGACACTACATCTCCAGGTTCTGTGTACTGGTAGTGGCTTGTCAAACAGGAATTGCCTCAACTATTGCCTAATCTGTTGGTGCAAGCTGCTAAGAGCTGACCTTTCTCTCCAAATTAAGATCACCAAGTGGTAAAAGACCTGTTCATTGCTGCAGGTCTCTCTGAAGCAAGAATCCAGTTAGCCAAGCGAGGGCTCCCTTCACAAGGTGAGCCCAAGAACAAAGCAAGCCATGCAGTTTAGAAACAGAAGCTAATCCTCTCATTAGAAAACTAAGACACACAAAGCTGCAACCTGCAAGCAGAACAACCTACAGTCCATTTATAGAATATGCTGATTATGTCCCAGTTATAAAAAACTATCACTCTTCATGGACAAACAGCTTCTTGTTCCACAGGCATTAAAACATTCATAAAGACATCTAGTCAGGCCATCTAGTGGCTCCACAGTCAGCACTACTCAGCTAATGAGAGCATTAATAACTTAAGGAAAGCAGCAGTCAGACACAAAGCACTGGAAGGTGACTCTGTCTCCCACAGAAACACAACGGGATCCTCATGACAGACATATTGCAGAAACTGAGAACATAAGACGTCAACTCTGCTTGATACTAGTGTCACTTCCATCCAATACTGCTGCAGAACTGCCACAAGGGAAGTCTAGGGTTATTTTTCCTTTCTTCACCTCCAAAATCTTAGACACGAACATTTGGGAAGGCTGGTCCCAGCTGCAATGCAGTGCCCATGTTTCCTGTTCTCCATGACTGCATGGACCAGCTAAGTTGGCAGAAAAGGTCAGACATGGCCTCAGCTGTGAGGATGAGAGAGGTGGAAACGATTCTGAGCCTCCTCCTCAATCCATCAGACTGGAGAGTTTGGGGGACAGACAGCTGTGTCCTTGTTTACTCCCAGCTGCCAGGCACAGCACTACATGGCCTCAAACACATCTGAAACATGGGACACAACCCTACAATTGGCAACAAAAGGGCTTCTTGCTTCTGGAGCTCTGCAGAGGGAGCCATCCTGCTCATTTGGGGAGGGAAGCACCTCCTTGCCTTCACATGAAAGACATCCCAGAGCAGAGCTTCCCTGCCCCTCAGAGGAGGGCAATGTACTAACCATGCTCATCAAGCATCCCACAAGGGTCCCATCCCCATCACCCCAGAGCTGGCTGCATGCTACCTACTCTTGCAACACCCGTGGGCAGCTAGACAATCCAAGGAGCTGGGCAATTCCTGACAAAGCAATCCTGTTTACTAATTTACACAGCATCTGTTCACTGCATCACCATTCACAGCTTTTACCAGAAAATGCCACTGCTCCCTTCAGTACAAGATTAAGTCAGGAGAACTAGTAAATGTGCTTTTGCAACAACTTCATTTTAAATCAGATTTTTTTTAAATACTTGCTTCAGATAAACTTGAACCAATGGTCCTCTATTCATTCTTTAATGTCAGTACATTCCAGCTCCTGGGATTAGACAATCCTGGTTCATTGTGTGGCAGATCCCACAGCCAAACCTGAAGGGGTAACACCTTGCACTGCTCACTCACTGCACAAGGGATAGGATACCAGGAATGGGTCCATCAGTCCCACATCTCTGCTAAAGCAAACAGATTTCCAGTCACAGTAAACTGAACAGTGCTGTGGATGCTGGGAAATGAGAAGAGATTAATAGCACGTTTCCACAAGGCTAAAACAACCACTGACCACAGGACTTGAGAAACTAAAGACTGATGAACAAATGGATAAAGACCAATGGCTAATCTCAGCCCTGATTTAATTATCCTGAATTAATCTGCTCACACCAACTGTAAATTAATTTAGCCTTCAAACCCCTAAAGGAAGAATGGAAATTGTCTTCACGCAGTAGATTTAACTCTGAGAAATCCTGGAGATGTCTGTGCTAAAAAGGTTATAAGAAGCAAATTTGGAACCTGATATCCAAAGGCTTTTAGAATAAAGTCTTCAACTATAAGAACTGCGATTATTTAAAAACCCTCTACTAATCTTTCACCTTGAATATTCAACAGTGAGTGACAAACTGACTGCAAAGTGAATGGACCAGAAACCCAGATTCCTCATGGCTAATAACAACAGTTATATTCCCAACACTTGGCTGCACTTCCACTAGAGCTCATTCCTTCATCAGAGCTATGATTTGGAAAGTAATAATACTCAACCTATTTGAAATGTATTTGGTTCAGGGCAAAAAAATATTCATTTCATATTACAAAAATGGGTTTTTGGTGTTTTGTTTTTTGGTTTTTTTTTTGGTTTTTTTTTTGATTGGAGGCTTAAATCTTGTCTTCAATATTTTACTTAAATGGAGTTTGGAAGATAAAGCACCTATGTGGGAATGCTTCAGTGCGTGGTATAGCAGCTACAAAAAGTCCTGCAGGGTCCTGGATAACAAAATCATTTAACACCAGACCCCAGTGGGAAATAAAACAAAAAAGGAAAAAAAAACAAACCCAAAAAACAAAACAAAGCAAAAAAAAACCCACCAAAACAAGCCATTTGAAACACATTCAGACTCCTCTAAAAACAGAGTTTCTGTTCAGTCTTAGCACAGAAGTGGCTCTGGCAAAGCCTTTAAAATTCCACCATCCCCAGAAGAGAAGGATGCAGCATCTTCACAATAAAGACTGGCCTGCTAGTTAACCTTCTCCTGAGATTCTCCCTTTTACCTTCATTTAGTGTTTAAAAAAAAGTATTTAAAAATTTTTTTTGTAACCCTCCCCAGTAAAAACTATAATTGTAAAATATATATATATTTTCTCTCAGTCTTTTAAAGATCAAGGTTTCTGTTAAATTTTTCCAAGATGGTTGAGTTTGTGTGTTCAAATATCCACTGCTGTGTTGGAGATGAAGGATTGCAGCTATTCATAAAGATCTTTCGATCACTCTCACTGCAGTCCATACAGCTGCTGCTTACTGGGTGGTAGAGGGTCTTGTCCTGGAGGAGAGAAATTTGATGTGAGGTTGCTTAAGTGGACAAGAAAAGTTGTTTTAAAACCAACAGAAAGAAGTCTTAAAAACCAAGGTGAGCTATTATGCCACTTGGGTGTATCTGAAGTTGTTCCACACTTAACTGTTTGACAAGTATCTGGGTTCATTCCCACCCCTTCCAACAGAATGGAATGCAGCCCAATCCTCACGCCTGCACTGGGACTGTCTAAAGCTTCCCAGGGGCTCTCCAGGCTGGAATCTTGCTGCATCCCTCCTGGGCACCTGCCAGCAGATTGCTAGGTCTAGGACAGGGCACGTAGACAAGAATTTACTTACCTGTGGCCCACAATAGCATTGCTTAGTAGGAGAATGAATAAATCCTTATCTGCTTTTGGCAGGGCAGTCCAGTGCTCAGAACAAACCAACTCTCAGAACACCTCTTTGCAAACACAAGGGCATTGCATCACCTCAGTGGGGACACTGCACAGAGAGTGTCCTCTGCTCAGCAGCCCTGGGGTCCTCACCCTTCTAACCAGTGGCACAGGGGAGTCACCTCTTTTTAATCAATGCTACAAGGACAATAAGCTGTCTGCAGATTCTCTAATTACAGCTACATGAAGAGAAAGAATAAACACAAGTGGTGACATTTTCAGGAAACGTAAGCGCCTCAGGCAATTTGACACCTTAGATGAGAATACGCCCACACACAGACTCACTTTTCGGTATCTCCAGAGCTGGTTCCCCTTCATTCCATGACAGTCATAGAGGGTCACAGGGCTGCTGTGGGAAATGGCATCAAAACAAAACTTCTTGGTATGCTGAGGATCCCCTGGACGGATGTCCTCTCTCCAGCTGAAGGTGAATACCTGTCAGGACAAACAGGACCCTCACAATGGCTGGTACTGGGCATAATACTTTCACTGGCAGAATGTTGTTCCTTGTGCCCACAGAGTGGGGATGGCTTCAAGGAAAGGACACTATCTTCTAGAGAAAAAACTCCTCCCACCCCTGGGGACAGGGACTGCTGACCAGGGGACCCTGTACCAGCTGTCACACAGCATATGAAACAAGATTGTGCTGCTGCAGCCAGCCATGCTGGTCAGCCCAGGTACTAGAGCAGCCCTGGATGTCTCTGCAATGCAGACATACATCAAGGATTAAGCGAGCAGCTGACCAATTACAGCCCTTCCCAGCCAGCAGAAAAGCCAGAGAGCTCCAGCAGCTCGAGTTAATGCTGGCAGCGAACACCGGAGTCTGCACAGGCAGCCTGCAGTCACCTTGAGAAATTGTCCCACACTCCTGGGACAAGAGACCAGGAGCCACAGCTTCCCACCCCACCCACACAAGTACAGGAAGGGCAAACACTTGGGCGTTGCTTCCTGATGCTCCCTTCTACTGACCCTGCAATGAACTCTCAGCACTCTCAGGTGAAATGAAGGAGGGATGAAAGAAGAGTTTTAACTCCAGTAACTGAGCACACCCTATGCCTGGCAATGCAGTGCCCTGAGGGAAGATTCTGAAAGGGCAGCAGTGGCCCATGAGGTTCTGCAGGGCTGCCAGCCAGCACAGCTCCCTTTCAGTCCCTATCCTTAGCTAGGCTTTTCTGGAGGAACAGCTCTCCTCAGAGATCTCTCACGGGGCAGTCAGAAAGGCAAGTAATGATCAGGGTGCTGCTATTTGAAGCATTGTGGCCAAAAACTTTTGCACAAAGAAACTACTTTGTTCTTGGCTGTCTTTTAAATCCCTCTTGAGAGAGAAATTACCACAATCATTTAGGCTCAACACTACTCAGAAGTTCAAACCGCATTCTCTTCCTAAACATAAGCCAAAACTAATTTTCAAGATCCTCCTGACACAACAGAGGCTTAGTTTTGGTCTGTGTCTGAGTAAATTGGTTTTGTTTCTATTTTTCACGCATCAAATTGATATGCAACAACCCTCTGTCTCCCTACTACTGAAGCCATTCCCTGAAGAGTTATGCATGGCTCTGTAATAGAGGCATTGTTTTCTTGATCCTTTCTCAGCTCAGCTGCTACAGTTTAGACAAACTAATATTTTCCTCCCTTCTGTTACAATAAAGCTGTCGTTTCTGGCACCTCATATGTTGAGAGGGTGAATCTATAACCTGACTGGTTTCATCTCTCCAGCATTGGTTGGGTGTTTATAATGCATTTGCCTCCTGTCAGGAGGATGATAGTGAACAGTTATTGAATGCTCCTGCAGGTTCATTAATATGCATGATGCTCCTCTATCACTTCTTTCAGCACAACCTTTGAAGTTAATATTCACTTTGTTACATATTACAGCTGCCATGTTACTGGTTTATTGTTTTGGCACACTGTTTTCTTGTCATTTCTTTTGTTCACTCTGAGAACTTCAAAGCAGAGGTAAAAGCTCTACAGACTGCCAGGCTCCAGACACCCCTGTGCCACAAGCACAAGCCACATCCTGTACCAAAGTACAATCATCATGTGAGCATTGGGGTGCACCTGACAGCTCTAAATGGCCTTCCCTCAACACTGGTCCTTGGAACTTCACCCTCCCCAGATTTAAGGCTAATGATTTATCAGACTGTTACCTGCACATTGTTCCATGCTGCCTCTCCTCTGTCCTTCACACAGTTTTCCAGCCTCAGTGGGGATCCCAGGGCTCCATGTTTAGTATCCACACACAGTCCAGTTCCCACATTGCGTATCTGAAATAGTTAATTAGTCACTGAATCTCCTACCAGGAAAGAAGGCTCAAATTATCTCAAATTGCAGTATTTGTATGAAGTTAGTTTTTAAGATTCCTCTCTTAGCTGTGAGTCTGAGCTGGCCAGTAACAGTTGGAAGAAAGCACAGAATTCAAAATGGGGCCCAGTTGTACCTCCAGCACACAGCAAAACTTAGCAGTGACAGGACTGCAGAGCACACTGTGGGCTGGGCTGTCTCTGGTGGTGCCATTTTCCACAGGTCTGTACCTTATATATCCTCCCTTAAGTCTGTGCCAGTGTGAATATGCTATAGCAAATGCACAATGAATGTTGCTCTTCTGGATTCTTAAGTACTTTAGATTTGGGAGTTACTCTTGTGCTATAGTAAATTCTACATTAATCTTTTGTTCAATTGTTTAACTTAAGCTATAGATTAAATGCTGTTAGACTTTCAGGCTTAAACTGTTGGTTGAGTTAGAGCTAAGTTTAGTAAGGGGGTCCACTCTGAACCTTGTGACTCCATGGGAAGATCTCCCTTATTCTTTTTTATCCATGCCCTTTTCCATTCCCAGTCTTCACACAGGTAACTTTTGGTTGGTTTCAATTTTAGATTGATTGATTTTAGTTTGCTTTTTCTCTGTGTGCTTTAACCTTCTACAAAGTAGAAGTGTGAAGCTTACCAATAAACTTTGTCAGGCTTTCACTTTTATATTACACCTGCTTTTGTCAACACCTTTTCCAGTGATTCTTTAAGCAACCCAAAACACTCAGCCATGAGAGCTGTGTTTAACAACTCACAACCTCGCTTCTGGGGTGAGTCTATTCCCAGAACACAGCTGACTTTCAAAAATATGGATGGTTTTCTTGCCTTTCACATGGGAAAGCTAAGGACAAGAGTAGCTCAACACAGTTGTGGAACCCTTTGGAAATACAAGATTTCACTATTGCTCAGCTGCTGCCTCTCCCTAGTCCTCCCTCTGGCATATTCTGCTTTCTACTAAATACACAACATGCAGAACAAGCCAAGTCTCTATTCTCGTTGGAGCTGTGCACCAATAGAAGCAGCTGCCTGCCCAACTGCCTGCTTTGATCAGGCCACTGCAATGGTAGAGGAGTTTTAGGTTTTGAAACATCAAGCAGATCTTTAAACGCTCGCTCACACCTTACCCACAGCAACTGAGGCACACAGGCAACCTTAAAAAACCAAACCACAGCCTGTCTGCCCATTGCAGATGTCAGAGCACAAACTTGCCTCTCCCCAGGCAGCTGCTGGAGGCTCCACTGGTGGGTAGAACTTTGGCAAGTCCCAGGCGACCTCGTTCATGAACCACTTGAAGCTTTTGCAGTTGAGGTTGTTGCGGAGCTCCTTCTGAGCGGCGACGTCGCCCGCGGAGAGGTGCCGGTACTCAGGTCTGCGCTGGTAAATGAACTCCGCATATTCATCCATCCACACCTCAGCCACTCGCTTCAGGTTCTGTGGGGGAGAACGAGAGGGGAAACCACCTGAGAGTGCTGTACAAACCACCATTAGCATTCAGAGCAGCTCGCATGTTTTTGCTCAGAAAGGATTTTCATTCACATCCACTCTTTCTCTCCAGCTTCAGGACAAAGATTATTTTTATTACTCTGTAGTTGCAAGGGACTTTTAGAAAGATATTTTCAGTTGAGGTCAAAACAGAATCCTGGCACTTGGCCATTATATCTAGTTCCTTGTGGCTAAGAAAAACAACATTAATCAAAAGTTGTTTTTTTTCCTTTTTTTCTGTAAGGAAACTAGTCAGAACATGATGCTGGTAAATACCACTGGACATTCAAAGGTCTCTGACAAAAAGCTGCTTTCTTAAATCCTTCTTATTGCATCTTTTATATCCATCTAGGAATGGGATTTGCAGTACTCCCTTCTGAAAAGCTCCAGTTCACAATACTCTTTCTTAGCACTATTTTTCCATTTCCTTGGGTAAAACTCTGAGATACCTCCGGAATACTGAGCTTTCAGGTGATGACCCTTCAGAACAGAAGCAAAGGGTTTTACCTCGTGGCAGCAGCACATTTCATGTATTACTATAAAGCTTAATTCCCTGTGCACCTCCAAGACAGCAACAAACACCACCCACTCAACACAACCTGCTTGTCACAGTGCACTTGAGAGTGCTGGACCTGGGGCTGTTCTCTGGCAACATCAGGCACACTCTTGGTGCCCCTCAGTAATGTGCCATGTGCAGTTGGGACTCCTTGCATGAAGCTGCTCAGTCCAACAGTGAACACTTACTACCAGAGAAGTTAAGAAGAGTGAGCAGCATGCTGATCCTGCCCCAAATGCAGTGTGCACTCAACACGAGCAGGTGTTTACCTCAAGATGTCTGTTAAGATGCCAAGAAACAGCCTTTCCTACCTCTCTGCCATCTCCTTCCAGCACTGTGGGAGTCCGGAAGAGCCAAATAGTGAATCAAAAGAAATACAGCTCCCTCCTGATGGCACAGACAGAAGAGTGCTGTTCTGACAGGTCATTGCTGGGCTGAGGAATAAATCCAAATCTATAACTGGGATGATGCCACTAACCTGGGAAGCATTGTAAGGCTGTGCAAGCCTTAAGATTTCAGAACAGCAGGGCACCTCTCTGAGGTTTTTAGTTTTGCAGCCTTTCTGCTCCTAGGATGTTTTTCTCCCACCAGAGGGCAATACAATCCCTCCTCAATTTAAAAATTAGCTAGAGAAACCCAGTGCAGGATAGACAAAATCTCTTTCTTCTTTGGGCTACACTAGATTAAGTAATAAGATGGCATGGAACATTCCATTGTGGAAAATTACAGCTTGCCCATTCAGTGGTCTGTGATGCTTGAAGTTGAGAGGTCTTTCAATCACCAAAACCAATCACCACGCTGAAGCCTGCTGCTCTTGGAAAGCACAGCTATAAAATGACTGAAGTATTATACAAATAAAGCCATATCTTGTTTTTATAGCCAGCGCCTGATCACAAAGTCCCTGCCCAGCACCCAGCAGTGGCTGATGTCTGGAGCATGGCAGCTGTTCACACACACATCTGCAGCTCTCACCCTTTGTGCTACACATCCAGCACTGCAAAACTGCTCAACTTGCACTGAACAAGTGCAAATTACAGACAAAAGCCCCTACATTTGTCTCCCATTGTGGGGTGAGAGTAGACAACAGCATGGCCACGTTGCAGTCAGACTGTTGTCGTGGGAATGTCACTGCCACTTACTCTTGCCAGGCTGACTCCTGTGGGAACCTTGTATGGAACATATTTCCTGTAGATATGACCAACTCTAGAGCAAGGGATGTCCTCCATGCGACCCCCACACATCCATACCTGTGGAACAGCGGAGAAACACGTTCAATCTTGGCTTAATGGAGGAAAATGAAAAAGACTTCCAAGGAATAAAAAAAACTTAACCCAGATTTTTACATTAAAGTACAGTCTTCCCAAATCCCCTCCCTGCCTTAGTCCCAAATCCTATAACAACCCGCTTAGAGCCATGCAGCAAGCTTTGATTTAGCACAAGTGTTCTCAAGCCTTCTGTACAGAAAAGAACAGGGAAAAAAATCCAAGCACTGAGAAAACAGCACACACCTTGCTTTAAACTGATATATGTTATTACAGCAACAGTAACCACAATAGTTAAACTGGGCTGCCATAAAAAGCCCTGGGTGTAGGTTGTGTAACGAGGCTGTAAAAGGGAGGCCATCTCCCTAGTACAGGTGGTCATGTGTTATGCAAAAGGCTCCAGGGAATTCATGAGCCTGTTCCAGTGCCAGAAATCAGAAGAAACTGCTACTTTTTCCCGTGGTTATCACTGCTCTTTTATGGTTTCATTGCTGACATTCATTCACTGCTTTTGCAGCCTTACAATTAAGTGGAAATTTCTGCCTGGTGAACACATAAATAGCTTTAAAAAAGCCCTCAGGAAGTCACTAGAACACACTGCTAGTTGGAGATGACTACCTTGATGGTTGGTTAATGTCTAGAACGGGCTCAAAAGCTTCCTTCCCCATATGGGAGGATTTCATTTTGTGCCAGCACTCCGCAGCAACTTTTACTTTCTTTTACTCTTTATTTAAAACATGGATGTAGTAATTTTGTCCAAGTGAAACAAAAGGAGACATTTTCTAAACCAGTCAATCTACCTCATTAGGTTTAAGAAATATTTCTGTGCTTCACAGAAATATCCAATCAATACTTAAATACCCTTTAGAATGCCAAACAAATGACTTTCTGAATTTCTGAAGCAAGGCACTGCCTTTGCCCTTCTGTTTGTCCCTGGATCCCATGGGAGTGCCCCAAAGGCCATGGATTTTGGGCAGGCTGGTGCAGTGCTCTTGATCTCCCCATTCACTGGGGCTAATTTGAGCCACCACAGTTCACTGTACAATGAGCTTAGTCAACAGCTTCACACATAGCAGGCAATTCCATTAATATTCTACAGCGATGATATTAAATACTTAGCTCGGAAGAGAAATATTTGGCCAAGGCTGCTGCATAATTATTAGCTCTGACACTAAAGTCCTCTGGAGTTTCAGCTCTGTCTGCTGGCCCTAATAACTACAGTCATTTGCTGACTGCGTATAACTTAATGGAGGTTGGTTATTCTCAGAGAAATATTTTTCACAGGCAACTTTCTAAAGTTCAAAGTTCTTAATTACATTTTGTTATGGTGAGAGAGACAAGAAGAAAGTTGACAAACACTCCTATAGAATTTCATTCCTTTTGTCCCTTTTGTGTCCTGAGAGGCTGGTGCAGAAGAGATGAAAAAGCAACTAGCACTCAGCTTCTGTGAAGTTTCTTATGGAATTAGCAATACTTTTTATTCTGCAGTGACTGTGCTTTTGGCTGCAGAGGGCCAGAGCACTATTTTGCTGCTGGGAAATTAACAGGCTGAGAAAACAAGCATTTGGGCATGGTTTGTGTTTCTAGGAAGGCTGTGAGGGCTGCAACAGATCTGGGAACCATAAAAACCTGCAGGAGCAGCAGCAGAAGCCCTGAGCTCAGCTGCAGACACACACAACAACCTGCACTACTCTGCACTGCACCCTGCAGTGAGAAGCCCGAGAGGTTCACAGCAGCTGCAATTTAGTGTAACACAAGCCTGGCTACAAACACCAGCCTGTTTTCCTTGCTGCCTACCCACAGGATGCTGCCCCATCTCTAAGGAAAGGCTTTCAGCCAGGCCACCACAATTACTCTTCTCTGGAGCATGATGTCCCTGTGTAAGCTGAGCAGCAGAGTCCTGCAGTCAGTCCAGCTGGAGAGGAGAGAGCTGTCCCTGTGCTGCAGAGCTGGAGAGGCAGCAGGACTGGGAAGCTGGACAGAAGTGATGGGCCAGGAGATTGAAGCCGGTACAAGACTCCAGGCATAGAAGACAACATTACACAAACATATGCAGTGTGATCAGAGAAGCTGCTTAATTGAGCTGCTTAATAAGTAAAACCTAACATCAGTTTGACTTGCTCTTTACCTGATCATGCTTTAAAATATTTACTTGCAAACTATGCTGCAATGTAGGCAATGGAAAGCTTCCTAATCCCTACCAGCAGAGGTAGGGACCTTTCAAGGCACTCTGCCACTTCTGTGCCTTTTTAACGTTGCCTTATGCTGCCAGTGACAGTGTGGCACCCGCAGTACAAATCTAATTTTAAAGGCATGCTTTCCATTCATTCGTTGCTGCTTTGATTTATTTTATTAGTGAGCTGCTTTGTGTGGTGACAGAACTCATTACAACCTCCATAAAGACAATTACCAGTCCTTATCTATACAACTGGAAGAACGGGGAGAGGGAAAGAGCGTGATATGCATTGGTAAAACACAGCTAACAAAAGCATTAGAAAGCCAGAGCTAAAGGTCAGAGAATCTCATCCAGGGGTCTGTCAAAGAGTAAATGCAAGGGAAGCAAACCCAAAATAGCTGTGTGCTAGCTGAGGGAATGCTTCCACTCAGTTACTGATATTTGGTTGTTTTTAAACAAGAGTACAGTTCCCAGCACGACACACCAGAACGTACACTGCTAAAAATACCGTGCTGTCAGACAGCTGAAATGGTGCTGGGCTGTGGGGCAGCTCCTCATGCCTTCCCCACATCACTGACTGTCCCTTACTGTCTTCTCCTTCAGCCATGGGAGCCAGTTTCTTCTAGGTGTTTTACAGCTCGTGCCTCACTCCTCAGCTGACGTGACAGAAAACGTCAGAGCCTGAACTTGCAGCTGATTTCAAACAGCCATTTATGCCGTAAGAACAAGAATTAAAGCTGGTCAGGCAGACAGTGCTTCTTACAATAATCTAATCAGATCTCATCAAGAGAGAACAGGAAATTTCTCTTCTTCCTCGGGCACAATTTTGCCAATCTGCATTTTGGGCTTGGAATCCAGCAGCTGACAGATCTGCCAGAATGAAGAGAAAACCTGGCTACACTGAGGTCAACGGGCACACTGAGCAGATTTAGCTAAGGCCACAGTCTCACCCTAATAATAAAAAAATACACAAGGGAAATAAAATAACACTGGTGATATTGCTTCCATCTTCCCAGCAACCTGAAGAGCTGTAACTCCATATTCATAAAGCGACTCCAGAGCCTTTGATTCAGTCAGTATGCTGTGAAAGCAGCAGATAATATGCCACCTATTCTCTACATGGGAATGTTACGCTGATCCAATTCCCTTTCTGCAATTTCAGAAAACAATGTCAGGTAAGACAGCTGAACCTCTCCTCTCAAACACACAATACAATGCTGCAGTTGGTGTGTGAACACAAATTATCTGGGTATACAAGGTTTATGGTTTCCAAAGACTGCACCATGATGAGCCAATGCTTCCCAAGAGAGGGAAAAAACACAAAGGATAGCTAAGCCTTGAAAATAAAGCTGCTTCTGCAGGACACAACAGAAATGAAGACCATGGGATGGATCAACAGAGAGCAGCTGGCTGGTTGTGTAAGCACACACTGAAAGGTGGGAAGGAAAGGACACAGAGGGTAAGTCATGGGGGTTCTCTGCATAACAAAGTAGGTGAGAGGATGAAAGCAAGGCAAATAACTCAGGAAAACTGTAATCCTCTATACTGGAAGCATCAGCTGTTCCTGCTGCTGGGACTTGGTGCTCCCTGAGAGATTAAGGTAGTCCGTGGGGCACTGGGATCTGTGTGTGCACAGCACCTTCTCACACACCACACACCAGTACAGCCCCTCCTCACTGTCTGGAGCATTTGAGAGCGATGACAGCACTTTCTAATAATCACATTTCAGGGAGTGGAGGGGAGCACTTCCCTGCTGCTGCTTGGTGGGAGGCTGCTCAGCAACCTGAACCAAGAAGAGGGTGAACAGAGGCAAAAAATTCAAGTCAGTGGTCTGAAACTGATCTGTGCATCACCAGATAGGGAGAAAGAAGCTACCCTGTACTGCAGCTGAGAGCCTTAGAATTAAGCAGCATGTGCTGGCTAAAAAAAAAAAACAAACCAAAAAAAGCAGCAGAATGCCCAGCCTGTTCCAGTGTGGGCAAATGTGAGCTGCTGGAAAGTGGAGTGAGTATGTGCCTGGAATAAGCAGTGCAGGCTCACAATCAGCACTAACTTCGGCAACACAAGTAGAAATGCTGTCAGAAGGGATCCCTTGGCAGCTGCACCCGAACTACACACCTGCCAGAGCCCAGTGGCAAAATGGGAATCTGAAACATGCTGCTGGCATGGGACAAAGGAGAGGCAGGCATTAGACATGTGAACAGAAGCTGTGCAGCACTGGGATTTGCTGGAAAACACGTAACATGTTTTATGCTGTGGAAATCAGAAGCAGTCCATGCTGATAGTTTGGGAAAAGGATCTGGAAAAATGCAATGACCTACAATCACCAGGCTCTTTTCCTGTTGCTGAAGCAAGAACTGAAGACCACAAGTACTGACCAGTTCTTTTGTCTCCCTTCTAATTGTTCTTTTTAGGGCAACTATCAATTTGGCTTGTTTGCACTGAGCCTTTGCATTTTATGAAGGCTTTACAATCTCCAAATTACAAGGCAAATGTTTCTAAAACTGAAATGATTTATCACCTAGAGAGGGACATTCTGGAGTCTCATTCTTTGCTCTTCAAGTACAGCATGCAATTCAAGGACTGAAAACCACACCACTCGGATCTGAGATACAAAGTACATCTATATTTATGCCTACACAAGTCAGAGACATCCCTTTTTACTCTTCTGTTTCCCCATAACCAAAAAAAAATCAGAGACTATGTATTTATGGAAGAGAGGCGTGAAGCAGTTTAGTGGAGATTTATGTAAGCCAAACAGAATAGAAGCCACAAAAATACTGGAAAAGAGGCACCACCATCTCAAATAAAACTGATGCAGATAAGTGCTGTACAAAGTAGCACTTGATGAAGGGAACAGTTTAAATGCTTCACACATACTGCTCCAAATTAAATGCATTTATGTCCAAAAAAATGAAGCAGTTATGTAGGCAGCTATTACATTGTGTTTAGAAGAGGAAAGGTCCATTATAACTTTGGGTAAAGAACTGGGTTTTGCTCACACAATCAGGAAGATAAAAAAGATCAAGAAAACTGTAAGAGAGGAGAGGTAAGGAGATGACTCCAAAAGAGTGACTCCAAAGAACCCCACCTCAATGAAGCCTGCTGAACACAGGAGCCGCGAGGCAGCAGAAAAAGGTGACAAACGCCCCACAGAGAATGCTGTGAGTGCTTGTTTACCCTTTTTCCAAATTACAAGAACACACTTCAAGGTCAGCACCTGATGATTTACCTGTAACTACCACTGGAGATTGTGATGTGTCTGTTGTGTCTGGGTGACCTGACCAGGATCACCCTGAGCTGCAGCAGTGCTGGCTGTGAGATGCTGAGCTCTGGATACACACAGGTCAAGAGAAGGAAGGAGTGCCTGTTATCTGCTTGAATACGGAATGGATACATCAACTCCTTCATTTCTAAACTAGAAATTTCTGTTTTAAGGGATTGCTAAGGCCCAGAAAATGACAAACCAGAAGTTAAGGTTAGAAAGTTCACCTCAATTTTTTTTGTCCCTCCTACATACAATATTTCCTAATGATGTTTGATGCATATGTTTCATACAAAGTGAAAGGCTTCACTTGGAAAGAGTTTGATCCACCCTCTGGCTAAATGTTTTCTGAGGTGCTAAACATTGATGCTTTCTCTGTTGGCTTGCTTGAAAATTTCTGCTCAGAAGGAAGCAGAGCCAGCTGATAACAGAAATAGGTATGATTTCCAAAAACAAGGGCAAGAGGCTCCTAAATAAACTTGTTTATTTCCAGTCTCTTGACAACAGAGCCCTGTATTTTAAAATAAAGACAAAACCAGCAAGGCACAGTCCATAAATGGCAAAAAAAGAATATGCTGAAGGAAAAAAAAATTCCAAAGCACAAAGTAACCCCCCAAGAAGCCCTGTACTCCTGGTGAGGCTCGAGGAGGCCACATCCAATGCAATGGATCAGAGGCCAGCAGTACAGAAGAGTACTTGCACCCACAGCCACCAGGGACAGCAACAGATTCTTTGATAAAACTGGTCTGTAAATCTGGCATGCTTAGAATCTGAATTCCCATGAGATAAATAATGTGAAAACAGGTACCCCATGCCTAAAGCCAGAGCTTTAAATTATTTGACACTGCACCTTTAACTACAAAATCTCAGTCTGCTTCTAAAGGTAAAAACGTAGCTCTAAGCTCACCAGGAAATGCCATAGCTTCATAAATTCTATGAACAAACCTTCTATTCTTGCAATTCCAGCAGAATTATTAAATCTATCAGTCACAGATGAATGTATCAATTTATCTTAATTTCTGAAAATACACTGAGCCTCTTTCAGAGAAAACTTCATTTTTCTGTTGCACAATGAAAGAAAAAAGGGGGTCTTTGCAGAGATTAATTAAAGCAAATTTATCCCTCCATAAATTACCATCTCTGGACTGAAATAAAACACAGCGTGTTTCAGAGGGGATAAGCAAACAGATGAATGAAGCAGTCTTATTTCCTGCAGATCAAGCAGTGTGACTGTCTGCTGTGGCACTGGAGACAAAAGGCTTGCCCAGCTACTGTCATCACTCTTGGAAACCAGCATTTTCAGAGAGGAAGAGGCTGAATGCTGCCCCTCCTGCAGAGAATGAGCGCCTTACACAATTTCATTACACGCAACACAAAGATGAAATGGCTCTAAGCACAATGACACCCCCAAAGAGGGTGCCCTCGTCCCTCCCTTCCTGACACTGTTACAGAGGACAAGGGACATCCAAGATGACTTATGCGTTCTGGTGAGGAAATGATGGAAGCAAAGGCTGTCTCAAAATCAATGTCTTTTCTCCTACTGTTTGCTGTCCAGTAGCATACGGGGTGTGTATGGCAATGTGGCTTGCTGAGGATTGATATCCTCTGAACTGCACAGAGGCATGGAGGTTCAGGCATCTGTTTTGTAAGAGATCAGCCATGACAGAATTGCCAAACTGTGTCCTACATCCCTGCTATCCTCTAGCCTTGTGCCAAGGTCAGCTATCTTAGATCAGTGGCATCCAGACACCTGTAAAATTAAATATTCAACCTCTTAAAGAAACCTCAGAGTTTAATGTAGACATCTTTACTCAGTTTGGTCCAGGCTATGGGAAGGAATCCCCCCACTAAAGACTGGCCACTTGCCTTCAGGGGTTTGGGACATTGTGGTGGGTTTCCCGAACTGGATTTCACAGTGCCATATTCCAACCTAACACAGGTACCAGCAGTCTTGGTGGGTTACAGTGACTTGTTACTCTTTGTAAGCATTTTTGGTCAGCTGGCTAACTCTCAAAGGCCTCCACTGACCAGCTCAATCAGTGAGTAGCAGAACTGTCCCCAGGCCAGGCAGATAATGATCCAAAGTCACTGCCAGCAACAGTAATGACTCCAGTTGTTGAAGATTTCTTCCTGGGTAAGTAATAGCCTGAGTTCCTCACAGCCGGGGGTCAGGTGGATTGACTACAGACAAAGTTGTTCTCCTCTCTGAGAACTCAAGCTGGAACTGGAATCCTCCTGCCCTCAAGGAGGAGAATATTTCCCCATCTTGCCAGGGTGAGCACTGAGCAGCCCCAGAGGCAGAGAGCTCCAGAGCAGCTGACTTACCCTTGCTGGGAAGAGCGCACACATGGGAGCTGTGGCCACAGAACGGGCCACCCCAGCTCACCCTGCTCCAAAACTGGCCCTCACAAGTCACTGCTCACATCAGTGCTGATTCTTCTGTGCACTCTTACTACTCCCAACTCTTTCACCTTCAGTCACACGCAACAGTAAGGACAAGACAGATCATTCACATTCTGCGCCTCAGAACAAATTCTTACTTTTCAAAACAAAAGGAATTTCCAGAGAACATGGCTCACCTTAAAGGATATTTCATACTGCTCTCCTCCCCATATCTCCAGACCTGCATCATACCCTCCCAGCTCCCAGAACCACTTTCTATCGACTGCAAACAGTCCTCCAGCCATTACAGGAGACCTTAAGGAAAAACCAGACTCCATATTACAAACATATTCAAAGACACAGATCTCTAGCTAAACATTTAAAAAACAAAGCAAGATTTGACAAATATTCTTTTCACCACCCAGCATACCCAGTGCCTTTACAGCCACATCAGCACATCAAATAGTTCTTTTGGTGTTATCTCCTGATTTCCCACTTGCAAACGAGGAGGACCAGACCAGGCTCCCTTCAGAACCTGCCAATGCCTCTCCTCCAAGCAGGCAGGAGTTGACCATTAAGTGACAGGACACCACCTCGGGCCCAAGGGACCTGTACGCTTCACACATGGTGCTCTGCTTCTGTTGTAGGATTGAGTCTTTGAGTTTGACCTCAAAAAGTGTTTTGTTGGTTTTTCTTTTTTTTTTTCTTTTTTTTTTTCTTTTAAACACTGCAGAGTACAAACACAGCAGAACTGTCTCAATGTTGGCAAGCACAGCAACAGCAGAGCACAAATTGATCACAGATTTACTTCTGCAGTGCACTGTAATAATCAAAATTGCTATAATTATGCTCCTAGGTTTTCTTCTATCCCCACCTGGGAATGACACATACCCCACCATTGGTTTGTTGGTTTTGGCAGAGCATTAGAGATACTAAGTTATGTTTGAAAGATCTCAGTAATAAATGACCACATTAATTGTTACACATTAGAGTTTTCAATGAAATGTTAACTTCTGCAGGAATTAACGTGGCAAAAACCAGCAATGAAAAGAAGAGGGTTCACAGCTACTATACAATGCTTTTCTTTTAAACCAGCAAAGCAAACAGCTGCCAAAAAAGCAAGTAGCTTAACACCAGCTTCTGGCTTTTGCTGTGCTGAGGTGTAAACCAACCCTGCAGCAGGGTGTTATTCATTAGCTGGCTCTTAGCACTCTGCATTTCAGTAACTTACTCAAAGGGATCACTGGGATCAGGTTTCTGCAACTCAGGAGGAATAGGGATCCTCTTGTAATACATCTCCCAGTCAAAGGCCCCTCGCATTGCATCTCCAGCCTGAGTCTCATATCCAAAGTGGTCGTGATCAATAACATCAATCATTGGGCAAACGATAGTCTTGCGGTTTCGGGCAATGCGATCTGAAGATTGGAGAAATATGTTAGAAAACCTGCACCAGCCAGTTCCTTTGACCATGAAATTACAAAAAAAGAGCATCAAAATACGAAGTTGTCCAAGAATGACAGAGCTTTCTTCCTGCTCCTTCTCTTGTGAGCAGATGCTTGAATTTATATCAATTTATCTGCTACTTCTGCAATCCCTGAGAAAAACACCAGGCACCCATCACCCAGAAGCAGAATGGGAAGACACAGCCACACTACCCCAGAGAACTGACTGCCAGGCTAAAACCAGACTTCTTGTACTTGATGAACAATCCTCATTTCCACAAGTGACCAGGATATGAACCCCTTCTGTGCCGATCCAAATCCAGGGAATAACCCACTGCACCACCCAGCTCTAACTGCCACACCAGAACCTGGCAGGAAGGGTTTCAGACTAATAGCGTAAGTGCTCTCAGCACGGTCAAGAAATGCAAGTGTTACATCCTCCCCTCCAATCTTTTCTTCCAACCAAATAATACAACACAGGATAAATTCCTGCATAAACATCTGGAATTTCTTAAATACTTTATTACTGAGATGGCCTCTTGTTGGAAGTTAGCTCTCAGAGTAGAGGTAATAAAATGATGTTTCAGCTTCCAAAACACATCTCACAGAAATCCTTTCTGTGCTTTAAAAAAATCAAAGCATCCTCTTCGTGTTCTCATTTAAATGGCATTGGAGCTAATTCTGTCCTCCCTCCCTGGGGCTCGTAAAGCTGCAAATGTTTCAAACTACTGCCAGATACAAACTGTAGTGAAAGCAACAGGATAAACCATCCATCAATCCTGGCGGAAAATCTGACTCTCTTCTTAAAGCTCCGCTTGGCTGTTGTTGCCACAGCCTATTTGAGCAAGTCACACCTCAGAGAGCTCTGACAGGTCACTGGCAGCAGGGCTGGGAAGGAGTTTGGTACCGGCTGGAGGCAGACAGGTACCAGAACCAGACGGCACTGTCCCTTCAATTAGTCATCCTTGGAGAGAACTGACACCTCCTCAAAGATGGATTGCTGCCTTGGAGAAGGGTGCCCATGTTCTACAAATACACACCAGCAGCTCTCATTCACAAGAAGTGTTTTTCACAGCCTTGCAGACTATGAAGTTAAATATAGTTATACAGGAGATAAAACCCTTAAAAGCTACTCAAAAACTGTATCTGAAGATCTTTTCTGTATCATAAAGCCATTCCTCTCTGCAAGCTGTTGCATGACTATGTGATAGTTTACTCTTCTAGCAAGCTGTAAATTATTTAAGATTTCATTTAATGAGGAAACAGAAGAGTATGATTTCTGCTCTTTAATTAACAAAAGCATATGACAGGGTTACTGCACAGCGCAGGACTCCAGAACAGAAAAAAAATCTCATACTAACCACTACAAGTTGCCGACAATTCACTTGAGTCCTGTGGTTGCTTTGCTCTCTCTTTTATATTTCACCTCTTTTATCCACTTACAGCACGAGGGGAAAGCAGCAATTCCAACAACCCCCACTCACCTAAGAGAGGTGGCAGCCAGTTGACATTGGCCTCGCAGTGGGAATCCAGGAAGGTGATGACGTCCCCGATGGCCACCGAGGCTCCCAGCATGCGAGTCCTGATCAGCCCTTCCCTCTTCTTGGTCCGCAGGATCCGCACGTTCGGGAACTGCGCCATGTAATCTTCCAGGCGTTTCTTCAGGTGTTCTGTACAAAAAGGAGACATCTGGACACTGGAACAACCAATTTCTTAAAAATGCTGTTCTAGCTTCACCAGAAGGAGATGTCTTTGGAAGTATGGCCTCGACAGGTAACAAACGCAGTGACAGGAAAAAGGAAGTAAAAATTACTTCTTTTGAAGGTCTAAAAATAACTGCCTAAGCAAGACTTTTGAAGATGTTCCAAAACTTAAGAAGCAATTAAACAGAGGAGGGAAAAAAAAAAAAAAAGAGTATAGGATGAGAAAGAAAGCAACAGAGGAAAAGCAAAAGAAATAAAAAGACAGCTGTCAGACCCTGAGTCAGGATTCTTGGACACTTGTGGAAAACCACTGAAACTTAGGGAATTCATTTTCAGAAGTAAACCACACTCAGGGCATTTAAGTTGCGTGTGGTTTCTTCAAAACACACAACAATCCACTCATGCATAAATAAAAACCAGGAAAAAGCCTAGTCAGACACCCGTCCAAGCTGCAAGGGAGGCACAGCCACAGTGTGTATGGGGATGGCTTCCTTAAATGCTTATCAGAGATTAGCATTTAAATATGGAAATATTTACACTACTGAACATGGACTGGTGCCACATCTGAATTAACACAGGCAGTGGCAGTCACCATGATTAACAAGAACTCAAACAGGAGAGCTGCAGAGAAAGATCATTGAGTGATCAAAACAATGGACAGCTTGTTTCAAAGTGGAGATAAAAAGTTTGGTCTGCATAACGAGAGAGTGGAACACAGCTGTCTTTACATCAAAGAGTGAAGCAAGCAAAGAAAAACCTAAAAATAGGCTGTGCTGATGCTGGTCTCATCACTAATGGGTTGATCTTTTAGGCATCTGAAGTTTTGACAGCAAAGCCCATTCAGAGGGTGCCAGGGATTGTTCATTAATGCCCCACTGCAGCCAGTAATGGATGCAGGAAAGAAGCCTCACTAGACAAAACTTAGTATGTTACATCTAAGCAAGCGACTCTTAAAATCTCACACAACAAACTTGACTAGAGGCAATCACTGAAATACAAATACCCTCACAGGGTTATTTGCCTTCTGTAGGGAACACATCCTCTCCACTCTGTACAGCACATCTTCCTCAGCTTCCAAAGGAGGCATGAAAGGCAGGGGCTGGAAAAGCCAACAGCAGGAAAGTGTCCCTGAACAGGGCACCAGGGAGGGTGGGCAATGGAACAGCTCACTGAAAAGAGCAAAGGAGTGAATAAACTTAACCTAGTTATGAGCTCTCAGCCTTGTGTTGACCTGGCAACTGTGAGAACGGTCAGAAGCCCTGTGGTAGCGCACATTCTGTGCCTGCTCTTTGAAGCAGCCATCATGTGCCTTCCTTCAAACATCACCCAAATACACCTCCTTGCTTTTGAGGTATTCCCAGCAAGCTCTCTGCCCTGTTCAAAGCTTTGTTTAACATTCCCCAGGATTTTTTTTTTTTTCCACAGATCCATTTTAGTGTTTTGCCTGACAAGTGCAATTGTCCCACAATATCTACACAGGTTTCCCTCTCAATAGAGCCCTTAGGACTTCTTGATGTCTAGTGTGCTTTTCCCTCATCCTTTTCAGGTCTCTTCTGAATAGATCCTCTCAAGCAACAAGAAATTTTGTCCACTCAATTACAGATTTTTCAAATAAGGGCCTTCCACAGAGACTAGACATATTATTAGTGTAGCTGCCTTCCTCCTGAGGCAGTGGGTAGACTTAAAACGAGAAGAGGAAAGAAAAAAAAAAAAGAAAGAAAAGAAAAGCTCCCACTGTTTAACATTAGAGCTCATCCCTTGCCATTGTTAGCTTGTCACAAAAGATTGTTTCATCGCAGAGAACAAACAATCCTCACTTCAAGCAGAAATCAGCTACGCCCAAACCAGGATGCAGACTTTACTAAATGTACCCGAGACAAGATAAACATGAGAGTGGCTGCTGGTGCTCGTTATAATAATGGAGGGAACAGTCAAACACTCTTGGTGTGATTTCCCTAACAACAGCCAGAGATTGATAATAGCAGAAGACACTTGGAAGATCAGACTACACACTACATTATCCAAGCCAAACCTATAAAGCTCTGGAAAGTCTTAAAAAATCCAAGGCTCCAAACAAATGGAAAATATAAAGAGACTTTCTTCAGCTCTTTATTTTGATTAAAATGAGAAAATGAGACTGTGAAAGATACCAGAGGTTTGTCTACCACCTGTGTGTTGGTCATTTCCATCTCAGCATCACTTGCCTTTCTGAACTGTTCTGGTTTGTGGTGCAATTTCATCTGTGGTGACACCTGGTGCAGCTGAAGTGATTCCTCCAGCCTGCTACCAAGCACTGGAATGTCCTGGGGTCTCACACACACCCAGAAGGTGAACACAGAGTCACTGCACTCGGCTGTATCAGTTGTGATGATGATGATGGCTGCTCTGCTACACAGACTGAGGACAGGGTGATTTGTATCTATTGATGAACAAGCAGCTAAAAATGGAGACTGGAGTTTTCTCAGGCAAGTACTCTGCAAAGAGTCAGCAGAGAGTCTAATCCACTGACTTCTCACTGCATTCCCAAAAGCTGGGTTTGATTCCACAGCACTTCTTTACTACATTTCCACAGTAAGAAACTACCAAAGCATTCCATGCTTGCAGTGAGGAGCCTGTTGTTTGCTGCACTGGTCAAGTGCCTCACACATCAGGAATCATGTCCCTGATGGCTGGGAGAACAAGGAAAAGCTGCAGGTGCTCCAGCAGCACCTGTGTGCTCACACTGCTGCAGGGATCAGAGGGATGATGTTCAGGTAAGCTGCTCCTCCCAACTGCTGCAGAAAAATCCATGTTTGGTCACTGCATCTTGTAAGATTAAGACTTCTCTATCATGGACTGCAAGTGGGCAGAGTTTATTGCATCTCCTTTGCCTAACTGAAGAGTCACAGACTTCTGAGCAACCTCACAATATACAAAACTCAGTAAAATGTGGTTTTCAAATAGATTTTGTATTTTCCTATCCTTGTGCTATCCTTGCCACACAGCCTGGCTTCTATGCACCCATTTAGAAAATAGTTATTTAATTCTATTTCAAATATTGTCACAATTAAGCCAAAATTTGCTTTTAAAAGAAAATTAAAAAAACCCCAAAAAGTGCCATTAACTGCTACAAAATTTAATGAAGCTTTAAAGAAAATATATTATGGAATCTTGTCACACTGAGTAATTTTTATTACAAGGGCAGTTTTTTTTAATGAAAGTTGTTAGGTGAACTGGATGGATTCCAATGGCTGTGCCTATGCTGGGCAAAGGAACACAGTCCAAAAATAGAAATGAGAGTAAGATTATCTGCAGATTAAAAACTATTCTGGTAGTTTGCTAAAACACTTTGCAATAAAGTTGATGTACAGTGTATACATTAACAGTACAGTCAAAAACTGCCGCTTTCTTTACTTTGAACTGTAAATAAAGCTGACAGAGAAGCTTTAACAGGCAGCCTGCTTTACAAAAGCAGCCCTAAACTTGCCAAAATAAGGCATTTTTTTTCCCCCTAGGTCAAATTTCTATGGTGGTCTTACTGTATTCCTACTAGCCTCAGATCCCTCTAATCTGGTGACCACTTGTAGCATGGCAAGGACTTTCCCAAATTGGAATTCCTCATATCCAGCTGACTTTTCATTCCAACATTTCCACCTGAAAAGGCACCTAAGAAATTCAAAAACAAGCGTAAATAGCTTATTTTTTAAGACGAGTCCAAGGAGGTTTTTTTTAAAATAGCTTATGGTCCCTGTAACAGCTCTGCAGTATTTGGCAAGGAAGGGATTTGCCATATAAAAAACGAAAAAAACCCAACAAATTTAAAATATCAGCCATGACTTGAAACTATTAAAGTGATTCATGTCCTGAGAAAGAACTATGAGTGAAACACTTCTGTCCTGCCAGTGCAACATTTCACGGTTCATATGGTACCATCAGCTTTGGTTTCTGAATTTTACACTGTACAGCACATCTGCAGCTCCAGTGCCTTGGCCATATGTGTATCATCAACCCAATCCAGAAGGAACAGCACTGCAGAAATCAGGAACATTCCCAGACACCTTCCCATGTTACTCAGCTGCCACTGGTAACACCAAAGGTCCCTCTGTCCTACAGGATTCTGGCACCTGCTGAGCTGCTTTGCTTGAGTTTACACTCAGAAGCTTGAAGATGTGGAGATGGGAGAGCCACTGGACTCAGAAAATCCAAGGAACCTCCTCTTCCCACTGAAGGGCACAGGAGGACAGGACTGGAGGATCTGCAGAATTCCATTTTAGGCAGAAAAGAACCGTTTCTCTTCTCTGCAGGTTATTTTGGCTGCTTTCCAACACCAAAGCCTGGAGTGCCAGCATGCATCTAGCATTTGTTTACAGGTTACCCTAGCCTGCCATCCCTACCCTCCCACACACAGACATGCTTGCTGAAGATTACAAACTAATCCATTCATTTTTACTTGGATACTTGGCCCTAACGTGCTGTTTAACAATTTAAAAACGAATTATACTTCTTCCTGAATCCATCATAATGTGCAAGCCAGGCCTCCCTGAAATAGAAGATTCTAAATCATTGAAATTAACTTCTCTCCCTGTTTTGGTGCAGATGAGTAATCCTTTGAAACAGGAAAATGTGCTGTTATCCAAACAGGCAGCACTTCCACTAGTTTTAATTTTCTTTCAATGTTTTCACACTCTGATCACTGAAGTTCGTTGGGAGGATAATAAATTGATTTAACAAATTGCACTATGAGCACCAGCCTCAGTAATAGAAAACTGATTAGGCTGATCACAGCTTTCCAAGCTGAATCTTCTTACAAAGAGGAAAAGGCCTGAGAAGGGAGAGAATTAATATTTGTTGCTTCACTGATTACAGTTCTGGGGTAGACTCCAAAAGGGAAGGGGGCCCAGTGTCCACTGCCCATTCTGCATCAGTGTTGGGTCTCAGCACAACTTTGAAAACAAAAAATTGTCAGGGGAAAGGGTTTCTGTGCATGG